TCTTGGTGTGTTGAGCATGAAGAACATGTTCAACAAAACAAAAAAGAGCTTGTTATAAAAGAAAAAAATAGAAAATTATGTTAAAAAATCAATATGTGATTGTAGAGTTTAGAAAACTAAATACGACAGTCTAGACATGAAGTAGGCATGAAAGTTCACCGTGTTCCATGGACTCACCAACTGGCCCAGCACCACCTGATGGAAAGACCATACTCCCCCCCCCATCCCCCCCGCCCCATTGCATGGCAAAGGTCTGTCATGATTCAGGTGACTCCACACGAGGGGTCTGATTTGGAGTCTTCCTTCTGCTCCTTTGGACGAGGTGCTTCTGCTTTTTAATTTCTCAAACTGCCACCATCTCCATCTACACCTGACAGGCTGGTTTCCATCACCCCATATCTCAGGTAGGGTGAATTCTCACCACATTTGTAGGAGCAGTGTTGGTATCACAGGGCTACAAATGAGGGAAGTAAGACCAAGAGAGGAAGCAGATTGCTCAAGTATCCTCCAACCATTCAGGCTGTGGTAGAGCCACAGTAGTTATTTAAAGTATGTTTCTCAGTGTGTCTTACTGCCTTGGAACAGGGCTCTCATGAATGACAATTTTTTTTCTGAAACCTGAAAGTTCTCTACAGTTTGAAGAGAAAAGTGACAGCCGGCATCAAAGGCGCTCTGAAGGGGCAGAAATGACTCAGATGATTGGCCACCAGGACATGCAGAGATCCCGCTGCTCACAGAGACAGGAAGTCAGGTGGAACCTGTGTGAGACATAGGACCTGCGTCCCAGGGCCAGAAAGAGGTGCTGAGCTGCCCTGTGGGAGCAGATGCATCTTGCACAGCCCCCCAGGCTCCTCCCTCCCCACCCCTGGGCTCACTGTCCTGAGGGCCCCATGGTGCCCCCAGTCAACAAGGCAGGGAGAGAGGTCACCTTCACATACCCCAAGGCAGCTGTCACATCCACCACCTTCCTGAGCTCTGAGCTCCACACCCTCCTCCCTTCTCCAGTTCACACTCCACATGGGCATCTAACCTCATTTTAGTATCTGTCCATTTTCTGCTCAAATTCCTTCCAGGGTCCTCACTGTCTTTAGGGTAAATCCAAACTCTTCATTTTGAACAGAAGGCTCTTCATGGTCATCCAGATGGGACGCTCCAACCTCAGCTCTCACTTCTGCTTCCTTCAACCAGACAGGTGTAGTTACCCCATGAACACACACACACACACACACACACACACACACTCACTCACTCATACACACACTCACACACACACATTCATACACATACACTCATACACACACTCATACACACACTCACACACACACACACACACTGATGCACACACGCACACACACGCACACTCACACCATCTACTATTGAACATGTTTGTGCTCCTTCATATCTACTTTCTTAGAGTTCTATAGGACTAGCAAGCTCCTTCCCAAGCCCATAGTGTAAAACACAGGACTAGAAGCAACACTGAGGTTCCTTCTTCTCATTTCTCTTCCCTGCATGTGTTGTGACTGCTCAGGGCTATGCAAGGATTGTGTGGTAAATCCATGTAAGACTTTCATGGAGCATGGCTGGAAACACAAGGTTGGAGTTCAGTTACAGTCGATGTTATCTTTTATTGACATACATTTAATTTCTCTGGTTTGTTTGTGATACATGGCCCATACGATCTTCATAACTCAGGCTGACCATCACAGCCCATTCCTATGCATTCCTTTTGCCTTATAGACAGAATCCCACATCCTTGCATGGGGCGGGAGGGGTGGGGGTGGAGCACGCCTATGACCAGCCACCACCTCACCCTCTCTTACTGTTGATCAGAGACTCTCTATGTCTCTAGGGTTCTCTAGAATGTTCCTTCCTGTCAAGAATATTCTCACTCCCACCACTTCGGACCCCATCTCTTCAAATAGCCATCCCCTCAACCACTGTCTAGTCATGGTCCCCAGATCTTCCCACATTTTCTCTCCTTTCTCTTTGTAAGTGAAGTCATTGGAATATTAGCTTTTGAATGCCCATACTCTGCCAAGAAGAATTCGCAAAATACAGGGGATGGGTCTCCTGGATCCATCATGGATGTATTTCTGGTTCAGGCACAAACACTTGGCAGAAAGTAGGTGATCAATAAATATTGGTTTATGGATGAGTCAAAGAACAAAAGTCAATTCTGTGCGTGGGAGGAAATTAGTAACTTCTATTCAGAGGATCAAGTCAGGACAAGGTCCTGGGTCCCGGAGTAGGATTTCAGATCCAGCAGAGTCCTGGGAGTCAGAAGAGACTCCAGATCTGGGCTGTTTCTCTGGAGGCCCTGGGGTCCTCCTGAGCCCTTATCATGGAAAAAACCCAGAGACAGCCCAAAGAAGGGGCCGTCCCCGGGCTGTGGGTCCACAGCTGTGACAACCCGGAAGGGCGGCAGCAGCTCCTGATTCGCCACATCCTGTGCGTCTCTGTCCTTCAGGCCCAGGCCTCCTCCATCTTCAGAGCAGGAGCCCTCAGAGCAGACGCCATGACGTCCATCCTCTTTGCTCTCCTCTGCCTCGGTCAGTTGCGGACATGGGGACGGGGAGCAGGCGGGAGAGGGAGGCTCACACTCTGTTGCTCATGGGGAACCTCAGGCTCAGGTAGCTACAGTGGACGGGACCGTGATGGGAAGGGATTCAGCTGAGATATCCAGGTGCAAATCTCTCACATGGACTCTCTTCCAGGGCTGAGTCTGGACCAGAGGATCCACGTGCAGGCAGGTGAGTCCTCCCCAGGCTCCATGTCTTTCCTTTTACTTCAGCCACTGAGGCTCAGGAGAGAGCACAGAGGTGCTGGGATGAGGTGATAAAATAAGAGGATTTGGGGTTGAGCTGGGGGTGAGGGGAAGGTCTTTGTAAAGCAGCCTCTGGTTTCCTTTTAGGGACCCTCCACAAACCCACCATCTGGGTTGAGGCAGGTCCTGTGATCCCCTGGGGGAGCCTTGTGACCATCTGGTGTCGGGGGATCCTGGAGGCTCAGGAGTACCGGCTGTATGCAGATGGCAGTCCTCAGTACTTGGACAGACAGAAATTGTTGGAGCCTGGAGACAGGGCCAAGTTCCTCATTACAGGAAACTATGCAGAGAGATATACCTGCAACTACCTCAAACCCAGCCTTCAGCCCTGCCCAGCCCTGTCATGATGTCAGGAAGGAACGTGACCCTCCAGTGTGGCTCAGGGCAGGGATTTGACAGGTACTTTCTGACTAAGGAAGGAGATCACAGGCTCTCCTGGACCCTGGACTCACAGCCACAGCCCAGTGGGTGGTCCCAGGCCCTGTTCCGTGTGGGTCCTGTGACCTCCAGTCACAGGTGGACGTTCAGATGCTATGGCTATTTTAAGAAGAATCCCCAGGAGAGGTCTGATCCTAGTGACCCACTGGATCTAATGGTCTTAGGTGAGCGGCCCCTGATCCCATCCTCTCTGAGCACAGGCAGCTCAGGGTCCCGCCCCCAGGAGACATCTGAGGTTGGATGAGAGTGAGGGGTCTGAGTGTTGCTCACTCAGCAGAGATCTGCCCTTAGAGATACTCTCACTTTTGATGAATCCTCTCCATGAACTGGGTTGGGAAGTTGTTAAGTGGGCGGGGAAGTGTCTTCGGGGATCACAGAGCAGATGTAGGAGAAGCGATGGAATCCGGGGAGCTCCGCTCAGAGGGAGCACAGCCCACCTAGCAAGTCCTGAGAGTCTGTCAGGGGATCGAGTGACCCAGATCCTCAAGGAAGGGCTTTTGTCCCAAGAGGGCTGGGAGTCCCAGGGACTGAGGCCCGTAGTGGGTGGGGTGGTCAAAGCAGAGGGAGATGTGGGGGCGCAGGCTGGGGAGGGGGAGCTGAGCTCTAGTGGGGAGAAGGCAGCCCCCACCATTCACCTATCATCCTCATCCCTAGGGGGCTCTAAGTCAGGCCCACAGACGGGTAAGTGAGGGGCTCTCTGGGGAGGTAGTGGGTTCCTCCATGGGGACAGGGGCTGAACCATGGGGGGTTGAGGGGTTTAGGTCCCTCTGGATTCGCTGACTTGGATGCCCCTTCCCCTGTCTGGGCCTCTGTGTCTACAAGTGTGAAAGGAGAGAATCCTTGTCCAGAGCTTAGATTTCCTGTCAGTTCTGCCCCTGACCTCCTGGGTGAGGGGCCTCACAGGGAAGCTCCCAAGATGTGATGTTATGGAGCCTGTCCCCTCTGTCCCACTGACGGTGACAGTGTACAGGGAGGGACACAAAGGACAAGGATACGGGCACCCAATCCTCCCCCTCAGCTCAGGCTCAGCTCAGAGGAGGGAACAGGGTGGATCAGCCCTGGTTCAGCTCCTGGCTCTGCTGCTCCTGCTGTGGGGCTGGGTGGTCCCTTCTCTCCTCTGAGTGTTGGGTTCCTGTCTGCTCATCCCTGTCCCATCCTGCTCACAGGCTGCTGGGAGATGAGATGACATAAGGGCCTCACAGCCCCCAGCCCAATTTGACCTTCCCAAGGGGGCCATCAGGGCCTGCAGGGTGGAGATAGATCCGGGAGAGACTCAGTCCAGCCCTCACCCTGCCCCTTCCTATCCCTGCTGTGCTGGGGAAGGGTAATGAGGAAGGACCCTCAGCTCCATATGAGACCTGGACAGGCCCCTGCAGAGGAGGAGCCCAGAGCAGGAAGCTGGTGTCCCCCTGGGGGGCAGCGTGAGGACAGCACAGGGAACCCACAGCCCCAGGTTCTAGTCCCAGCCCTACCCCGTCCAGGCTGGGTGACCTGGGGCAGGTGATTAACCTCTCTGAGCCTCAGTGAAGTAGGTGGTGGAGTCAGCCATCCCTGGTGCATGACTGCTGTGAGGTGAGAGGAGATGCGTGACAGACCTCAGCATGTACTTCACACACAGTAGGTGCTCATTAAAAAGCATCATTGCCTCATTCATGACATCACTTGTGTCCAAGGTCAACAATGGTACCTGTACGTGCTGACTGCGGTCTCGGTGGCCCTGGTCCTGCTGCTCTCCCTCCTCCTTCTCCTCCTCCGACACCGACGTCAGAGCAAAGGCAGGATGTCAGGTGAGTAGGCTACGGGGTTACCTGGGTCATAGGAGGGGGGCTCAGAGCACCTGCCACAGGAAACCAAATGGATGGAGAAAGTCCAGCTGGGAAAAGGATTTCTCCAGAATCTCAAATCAGAAAATCTTGAAAGAAAACAATGTCAGCTCCAATGTACAAATGTAATCTTTCATCATTTTCAGTCTCATGAAATATGAACACAAGTGAGTGGTAAGGTGCCTTCTTTCCTGTGGAATCACAGGGGGAGGGGACTCATAACCTCCCAGGGCTGATTCTGTCCCTCTTGGCCAGCCCAGAGAGGGTCTCATGTCCAACCTCCTGCAGGGATCACAGACCCAGAGCCCAAGGACAGAGGCCTGCAGATCATGTAATTCCTGCCCCAAAGACTCGAGACTCCCACAGCCCATAGCCCTCCCCCCGGCAACCCCTGCCCTGGCCCTAACTCTCCTGTCTCCTCCCCCAGCTGCAGCCCAGCTGCTGATGCCCAGGAGGAGCCTCTCTGTGAGAGGAAGAGAGCTACCCTGGGGGAGGGCGCAGAGTTTGGGGGAGATGATGGGGAGGGTTAGGCTGGGAGGATGGGGGTCAGGGGTGAGAAGGACTGAGACCCACACTGTGTGACCTGGCTCTGCACCTCACCCTGGGTTAGTGGTCATCTGGGACAGGTGGGGTCTGCAGTCCTGAGATCTCAGGGACCTGCCAGGAGACACCCCCCCTCCCATTCTGCCCCACCAGATGCTGCTGTGAAGGACCCGCAGCCTGGGGAGAGCGTGGAGCTGGACCCTCAGGTGAGACCCCTGCTCCTGTCCAGGCCACCAAGGGCCTTCTGTTGCCCAGTTTAATCCATTGGACCCTTCCCTGTCCCACCTCACCTGCTTCTCAGCAACATCCACACTGACCTCCCCTC